CCATATTGTGTAACTGGTTAAAATAGCCATTCTACTTAGGTTTTTCTTTTTTTCACTTTACATTTCTTTTCATTAGTGTTGAATATATATTTTGAAATATAAATATGAAAGTCATTAAAAATTTAATTTCCATATATCCATAAAGTTAACCTCTCGAATACATTTTCCTTGCCCATTAATGTACATTTACATAATAGCATTCCTACAGTCTTTGCATATACACCTTCAATATTTGCCAGTCGTTTGCATATACACCTTCAATATTTGCCAGTCGTAAAGATTTATCACTTATCATTTCTTCATGATTTAAGTAGCTCATTCATAATTATATGAGTACATTAATTAAAATTGTGTGTAATTATTGATGATATTTTTTTATTTTTTGTTTGGCATTAAATCACATAAGTATATTTTTTTCTGAAAGTATTTGTAAAAGTGCTTCAAGCTACCCAAACCATACCTTAGGCACTGGTACTTTACATAAAGTTTGGTATAAATATATGTATGTCCATATAATTATAATGGAAATATTTTGTCGCTGTATACAGTACCATACATGGTGATATCATATACATTCAGGCCCGTAGCCAGGTTCTTTCAAGGGGGGGGTTTTCTGGGCATGAGGTCCACAGGCGAAGCCCCGGTGGGGTTGGGGAAACCCCCAAAGCAAGAGGATTTTCGTGCTTTATGGGTCTAAATAATGCTATAAAAACAGATATGTTTGAAAATGTCTGTGTCTGGGTGGGTCTGCAGTGCATTAGTTTGGTTGGAGGACTTATTTGGGAAATTTAAAGAGGGGGTTTCGCCAGAAAAGAGGGGTGTTTGCTAAGAAAGGGGGTTCTCCCGAACCATAAAAACCCCACCCTGGATACGGGCCTGACATTTAAATATACATTTGAATATAATGATGTCTCCATGGTTGTATGCATAAGTTTTTAATGTATGTGTTCTGTTTTTCTTCTGTTGTTACTCTTTGGTTTGCTTGCTAGATGGGTAAGTGTTTTTCCTTGTTTGGTGTGGTGGTTTACAAGTGCTTGAAGTTGTTGTGATATACATGCTAACCAATCACACCTTTCCCTCCCTTCCTTGCCACTTCCACCATTGATTATGATTATTATGTGTGTTTGTTAACAATGCCCTAAAGCTTTTTCTCCACTAGACGAATTTATTCGCCTGAATCGAAAGCGTCGGTTAGCTTCCTAAGCCCTGATTGGTTGCACAGTTTTTTTCTCTTCACAAAAAGTAGGAACAGTTGGAACTACCGATTTTGCTGAAATGAATGAAAGAAAGGTGAACGCGCATGCATATAGACCGACGTTTTTGATTTGCATGAATTAGTTTGCCTAGTGGGAAACTGGTTTAATCATCATTATCATCTGTATAACAACACCACAGTTATCAAACTATTCCAAATCACTTGGAAATTGAACTCGGGGTCCCAATTTGGAAGAAGTCCCTTCCGGAAGATCTGGTTAAATGAGCTTTCTTAACGTATTAACTCTTATTTTGCTTTGCATGGTGACACCCAAGATACAGATAAAAAAAACTAGTATTACTGATAAAAAACTAGTAAACACATGCAAATATTATGAATTTTTGGGAGATGGGTTATTTTTCTGGGGATTCTTACTTGCTTGCGAGAGTGTAAAGCCGGGCACTTACTGCACCCGGCACTCGTTGGTTGAAGCGATTTTTATGGGAAATGCAATGCCACAACGCGGGCAACTGATCGTTTTTAATGACGATCCGTTTAGACTGCCGCTAACAACCAGCAGACGGCGTTGCATCCTCTAGCGCTCAGAGGGAGCAGAGGATTCTTCTGCCGATGGTTGTACGACGCAGTGGGTGCCTGGCTTAAGAGGCCGTTCCGGATTTTCGGGAGATTCCCATAACTTGCAGGTGACTTGGGACCCTGTGAACTTGAGAATATTGTCAGAATGGTTTGTTACTGTTCCAAAAGATACTGGCCAAAAAAATACCTGTATTAAGTATTTTTCAATAATGGTAGGCCTGGGCATCTGTGTATCTACAGCCAGATAAGGTATGTGAGAGCCTTTGATCTGCATACTGCAAGTTGAACAGGCTAAAATTTTTAGGCCAGCTCAAGGCTCTCATAGGATTACACGAAATCCAAAGCCTATGGACAGAGTGCTAAAATTAGTATACATTAATTTGAACAATTGTAATGCCTTCCCTTACAATTAAATTCCCACCTTGTCAGTGGGCCGTTGTTTTAAAAACCACGGCATTTATTTTTCCTATACATTTAAACTAATATTGCGCTCTCTGTTTTCTATATTCCAGTTGCTAAATTGGTCTATTCATTAGCAAATGGACCCCACTTGATAAATGTTTTAGCTTCTATGTTTTTAGTTGTATGTATTGTTTTAATGAGGGCCCTGAAGATCAGTATCTTCAGAAACTGGATAGTCCATTAAATAAAAAATAACTGAAAATTAGAAATAAGTCCTCAGACTTTCAGGGGTTATCCTTGGTTTATTTAACACAAAAGTCCAGTCTAATCCTTCACATTATTACTAGCACAATTTCATCATCTGTATATTCAATATTAAACATAAACATAATAATTATCATCATTATTAATATTAGTCATGTATTTTAAGTCCCTGGTATTTAAACTAACTTGGCAACCCAGCATCCATCCAACTAACTTCATTCACAAATAGTTGATACATTGTAAACATAAACTCTAGAGTAGTAGAAGTTATGAAAATATTCATGAAAATGGAATTAGAAACAATTAATTACCAGCTTTCATCAATAAATGGTCAGCTTTATTCACAATTCTTGTGACGAATGTCTACGTTTAATAATTTTTATTTATTCTATTTTATTTTTTACGTATTTATCCCGGGCCCCGGGGCGCTTGCCCCGCTTACCCCGGCCTCTCGGCACCACTGTATGTGAAGTATTCATTTGAGTGATCCAAGGAAAGAAGAATTTGTATTGGCTAGGAAGACCAAGCTTTAAAATACTAACACATGTACAACAGGGTGAGTGGGGG